GAGTTGCAGCTCAAAAAGGAATCTCATAAAAAGTAGAAATTTGGTACTAGGTACTAGGAAAGACTGTCACGTGGACATGCAGGGAGAAGATTAGGATGGCCAAGGCACAATTTGAGATGCAGCTGGCAAGGAACGTAAAAGGGAGTCTACAGGTACATCAAAAGGAAGAGGAAGACCAGAGATTCCACAGGTTCCTTGTGGAATGTGGAAGGCAATCTGATCACAGATGATGTAGAGAAGGCTACGGTATTTAGTGCCTTTTTACTTCAGTTTTTACAAATAGAGACAACAACCAGCTGAGAAGAGCAGTTGGCAGCAGGGATAGAAAAGGAGACAAACAACCTAGAGCAGTGGTTCCCAACCCGCGGTCCACATGCAGCCCAGTCAGTACACTGCTGCAGCCCATGTGACATCCTGATAAAAAAGTAAAGACATTTGACAACGTAGAATGAGAGGTATTATAGAATATTGATTGGTATTGCATTACTGTCAGATAACAGATACAAAACATTTTTAAATAGATACACAGGAATTAAGTTGTGTAGGCGTGGCCCACAACACATTGGGAGTTGTAAGTGTGGTCCACTATGGCAAACAGGTTGAGAACCACTGGACTAGAGTAATTACAGAATGGGTTAGGAATTACTTAGAGGAGCTAGATGCTGCCAGTTTGGCAGGGCTGGATGAGAAGCACCTGAGGATACTGAAAGAACCGGCTGAGGAAATTTCAGAGCCATTTGGTACGGTATCATTTAACAGGAAGAGCAAATACAGTGCCCATCTTCAAGAAGGAGGAAGAAGGGGGATATGGGGAATTACAGATGAAGGCTTTTGGCACTGTCTCCCATGACAGTCTCATTAACAAGCTAAGGAAATACAAACTATGAAAGTACTGTAAGGCAGATACATAACTGGTTGGAAAGTCATACTCGGTGACTAGTCCTCACTGGCTCGATATCTAGTTGGGAAAAAGTATTATGTCAGGTTCCCCAGGGTCTGTCCTGGGTCCAGTATTGTTTAAGACATTCATTAATGATTTGAATGATGGGATTGATAATGCACGCTTAGCAAATCTGTGAATAACACCAAGTTGGGTAGAACTGCAGACACGCCGAAGGGAAGGGCTCACATTCAGAACAACCTGAATAGACAGGATTGCCCATAGGCAATCAGATGAGATTCCACACGAACGAATGCAAAGTCCTGCACTTGGAACAGAATAACCACATGTACAGATGCACACTGGGAAATGACTGGCTAGGCTTCAGTACTGCAGAGAAGGATCTAGGGGTTAGAGTGACCCATTAGCTGAATATCAGCCAATAGTGTGTTCTTGCTGCAAAAAAAGGCAACAGCATCCTGGGTTATTTTCATAACAGTCACTTGCAAATCAAAGCAAGTGATTCTTCCACTCTGTTCAACACTGATGAGGCCTCACCTGGAAGACTGTATCTAGTTTTGGGCCCGCACAGTTCTTTGGGTAGATGTGATATCTTTTAGTAGACCAACTAAAAAGTTGGAAAAAAAGTTCTTTGCAAACTTTCAGGCACAAACACCTTTCGTCAGGCACAGGCAGATTCTGCTGGTGCTATGTTTTCTCCAAGGTAGAAAAGAAGCTGGTGTTATGTGTTCTCCAAAGTAGTTTTGGGCCCCACATTGACAGATTGGTAAGAGTCCAGCACAGGACAACAAAAAATATCCAGAAGCCTGGGAGATAAGACTTATGGGGAAAGGCTGAAAGATCTAGGGACATTTAGCATAGAAAAGAGAAGACTGAACGGGGATTTGATAAGAACCTTCAAATACCTGGAGGTCTATTACAGGGAGGCTAGAGATGGTCTTTTCTCTTTGGCTGTAGGAGACAAGACTAGGAGCAAGCAGCATTAGGGGAAATTTAGGTTTGAGATTAGGAGGAGCTTTGGGACTCTGAGGGTGGTCAAGCATTGGAACAGGTTACCTAGAGAAGCTGTAGAATCTTTATCCTTGGAAACTTTCTAAAGCAGGTTATACAGACACTAGACATGGATGATTTAATCTGGGATGATCCTGGCTTGAGCAGGGGGCTGGAGAAGATGACTCTTCCAGCTCTACTTTCCTATGAACTTAAATGTACCCAAAACCTTGTCTAACATCTCTCCCAACTATACAATTGGTCCAATACAAGATATTACTAAGCATCCTTGCTAATTGCTTCAGTGTTATTAAAAAATAACAACAATTCATCTTTGTTGGCTGGAGTCGTATGTGAACCTTTATCTACATGCTTGGTTGTTTTGAGGAAATTAAATTCTCCAAATGTCTGCAGCAGTTCAGGGAACAGAGACATGAAGTCAAATCTGTTGTGGGACTACTGTATCATGAGCAAAATTAGTATAACAGAAATGTGTGTGTGAGGAGAGATCAAATGAATTAACTGAGCAATTAACCAAGTGACTTTTAGCTTTCCATATTTTCCAACATTGGGAACTCCCCAGATGAACTTTATACCTCCAACAGCATCTACAAAGGACCTGAATATTGCTTTTCAGCAGAAGGAAGTCTGGGATCCATAACAGACACCTTCCTGAATCTGTGGTCATATAATTTGATACAGCTATTCCCCTGGTTCCACAAATTCCCAGTGTTCTGCTGAAGATGAAAGAAGGCAATGCACTAGTTATCCTTGTAAGTCAAGCACAGTCTTACAGATTTTGGTTTGCAGATCTGCTACATCTGTCCAATCACCGTTTCACAACTCTACTGTAGCAGAAACACAATCTCTTTGAATTGTGGGCTATTTCTGCATTCAGAATCAAAGTTCCTCTATGTGCCTACATGGATGCTATGTGGATGACAGTAGTGAACAGGAACAGCTTTGCGAAATAAGGAACATTTTGATTCACAGTAGAAAACCTTTGACTGGGCACCTATGACAAAGCGGAAACATTTCTCCCATTCGGTTACCTCTCAAGACTCTGGTCCACTTAAAGCATTGATCCCAGCTGGTTTGGAGTATCGGGTGTTTTTACAGCATTCAGGATTGCCATTAAGCTCTATTACAATTCACTGAACAGCAATATCAGTTTACCATCAGCCAGTATGAGGCACATCTGTTTCTTCCCATCAAACGGCTCATAAATTTTTAAAAGAAATGTTGCACATGTTCCATTTCTTAAGCAAGATTCCATCATTGTGGAAACTAAGTCTGGTATTATATTACTTAATGAAACTGTTCTTTGAGTCACTAGAGCCTTACGTTGCCTATCAATATAAGCCAGGTATCACATTAGTAAGCAAAGTGAGTGAGATATAAACGTTCATATCAAATCCTCTTTCTACAGTTTTTCCATGAAACCATGGTAGCTAGGAGAGATCAGCCTAAATTTATCCTATAAGTGGTATCAGATTTTCATATCGCTCGGAATGTGTTTTTACTGATACATTTTCCCAGACCTCATGTATGTGGGGTGAGTTAAGAGAAATGCTAAAAGAGTAATCTTATATTCCCTTAATAGAATGAAATCCTTTTACAAGTCATTCAAAATTTTCCTGGCACTTGGTGACAGATCCAAAAAAATTCAATATACATTGCCAGTTGTTTAAGGACAACATACAACTTTAATTAGGCAATTCTTTCAACTACTATTTGAGCTTGTTAGACAAGACTGCAAGCCATGTCACCAGAGTGCTTTATTTGAAGACCCCATAGCTGAAATATACAGAGCAGCTACACAAAGCTCAGTTACTACATTTACTATCCGTTATTCTCTAGTTACAGCACTGAGGTCAGACAAAGAGATGGAAAGCAGCTCTTTAATCTGTATTCAGATGAAGCTCTACTTCAACCGTCATGAAGGGCAAACAGCTATATAACTAGCACAAGCAGGATCCACAAGCCCAGGGACTGAAAGAAGAAAAGGATACTTCCTTACATTTATTATAACTATAGTTCTTCAAATTGTTCTGTATATGTAGATCCTGTGATCTGCTCTTCCATCCTCCAACTTGTCATCTGAATTCTGGGTGGAGAAGGAAGTAAGCAGCAGTTGGAATCACTAGGCCCTTTATACCCTTGGATTTGGGGGGAAAACATGAAAGCATACAGAGCCATGTGTGAGCCTTCATGAACATTTGTGGATAAAAACACAAAAACACTCAAACTTATATTCAGAAGGTGAATGCAAATCGTGAGTGGGATCCACATGCATAGCTTATCACACAAAGAACTGTAGTTACTATAAAGGTAAGTAACCATCTTTCACCACCAAATTACCTAGTTAATTCAGTTGAACCAGCTATCAGGTGATAAAACTAAAGTAAAATAAGGTAAGTTGTACACACAGTTCTTTAACAGCGCTGCAAATACAGTACAGAAAGAATCACTTAACTTCCAAATGCAAAGATGCCAGAAATGGGAAGAAGGGATCTCAGAATAATGTCTCATCCGAAGACAGTTATGTCTAACAGTTCAGAATTCATTAGTACTGCACAGCAAAGTCAATGTGGGGCACATCCTAACTCCTACGGTAAAACTTGAACACTTGATAGTCTGACACACAAAACAGTCAAAGATGCAAACAAGAATATTGTAGTCTCTAAAAAAAACTCAACAGATAAATGCCCTCCAAAAACAGTTTTACTTCTCAGTAAATTAGAGACTACATTGTCATCTTTTTATCACCTATTCACCAATACTGATTGGTGAAAACACATTAGTCATTAAATGTCTGACAGCTCAGAGCCTTCAAACACCCACTGTACTGTATAATTCTTAGATGTAGAATCACAGTTTTAAAGAAATAAAATTGTTTTTAAAAAATGTTTTTGCTTTAAAGAAAGACAAAATTGGGCACTGACTGTTTGCCTTTCACTCATACCAAGCATGGCTAACAGAAATATTATTTTCCAATTATCGCCTCCCTTGCCAAAAAAAATCCCATTACCTATCCACATTCCCCACCCTCCTGAATGACATTATAAAATGTTCTGGGGGGAAAAGAAAGGAATAAGAAATTTGTTACCTTACAGTTCCTGATATCCCATGCTTTAACTTCTGGGCCAAACCCTCCGCAAATAAAAATATTAGGATCACTAGGGTGAAACTTCAGTGTGCTGATCCGATATTCATTTTTGCTGGTAAACACCTGTGCCCCTATAATTAAAAAAAGAAAGGAGAGAGAAGGAGAATTTAAAATTTGAACGTGAATAGAAGATGGAATATTTCACTTTCATATTTTTATACAGCAAAGCAAAACAAAACAAAACAAAAAACCCTCCAGTTTGCAAAAGCAAATAGATAAATATGAGCATAATCATAAGTTAAAACATGTGGGATTGTTGTGCCTTAATGAAAAATAATCTAATTTACTTAATTCCATTTACATGGAATTCATCCTACTCCTGTCCTCGTATGCTGCTTACCAGCAATGCCCCTGCACAGAGAAGAAATACAGGGAGATTATGTCACCCATGTGCTCTGGGTAGGTGCTCTACAAAGGTCCAATTAGACTGGGAGGTAGGGGTTAGTTACGCAGGTACGTTGGAAGGGTACCTCTTTGTAGAGGAGCCACAGTCATTCTGATGCATATAAGCCAAACCAGTAGCTAGAGAAAAGGCTGGCGTAATAACATCCTGGCAAAAGACCCATCAGTGGCAGATCTTGCAATTCCAGGTCCCAAGCCCCATTTACTTACTTCAGGTTGTTTACCTGAATGTCACAAAGGAGGGGCAAACTTCACTCTGGAGGCAGGATGCAATTTGAACAGCCTCATACTAAGGCAATAACTGTTCCCATGGATACACTGTTGTCTAAATTTAATTGTGTATGGTAATCTTCACAGGATCCTGTGGCTTAATACTAATTGGCTTGTAAACAACACTTCCAAAGTCATAGAAAATTCAGCCAGACAAATTTGCAGGTTCTATCTCCAGTTCATAGCTGTTATCAAATGAAAGGTGCTAATGTCACATTTTGAAATAGTACTATGCACTGAGGTACATTAATTCAAGTTCTCATATTTGTCATTGCATTTTATATTCCACTGAACTGTGTGTAATACCTGCATTAAAAAAATGTAATGACCATATACATACAGGATATGTTATGTAGCATGAACCAAATACAACAAGGGCTACTGCAGACTTTAAAATAAGATTAGGGCATTATAAAAACATGCATCACTCCAGACATAAAGCAAATAATGGCCTTCCAGACCAACAGCTGGCAATCTTTAACAAGCCACAGGCAGGAACAACCCAGCTCCAGTCCAACATGGGTTTTGTGGTTTTAGTGGCACCTCAGTAGCAGGGGGCTTTCCCTGCACTCACACTGGCGCCAGACAGCTGGGATCTGCACCTGTGCCACCATTGCTTCTACTAGCCAGTGAGGAGCTGCACCAGGACCAGGCAGCTACAGACTGCATCCATGCCACTTCTCTCCTTTTCCCTCCTGGCTGTAGCACAGGCACAGCTGTTAACTACCCAGCCCTGGCACAGTCCCCCACCAGCTGGAACCCACCCCCATGCCACACTTGTGGGGAGGAAGGGAGGGAATAGTAGCAGCAAAGGTACAGCTGGAAACTGCCAGGCCCTGGCCCACCTCTTTGTTGCCTAGTCTCAGTGTGAGTGTGGGCATGGGCACAGGCAAAGGCAAAGCCCTCCAGCTGTGCAGACCACAACCAGTTGCTCCCTGGGCCATAAGTTGCAGATCCCTGTTTTAAACCAATTTTAACACAAAATAACCTGACTCTCAGTAACTCATGATGTGAACAGCTGGGACAAGGTTCAAAGGAAAATCTAACATACTTGATGTCACTTTTTTGAATTCAGAGGCAATTTGGTTGGTTTTGATACAGGCAGTGGTTGTGGTTCCTTAATCAGGTGAGTCTATTTGACATGGTCGGGATGCCCTACAGACATTGTTCTGGGTGACTCTAGTGTGTGTGTTCTCTCTCTCTCTCTCTCTCAGCAAAAACAGAAACAAAACCAAACCCTGTGCTGCTTCCAGTGCCACATGAGCTAATGGTTACATATTTTGGTCCTTCTGATAATCCAGGAAAGTTTTTAAGCGAAGCAAAATTTGTTTGGTAATGAGTTTTACTGGACCCACTACACCAGGGGTGTCCAACCTTTTTGAATAAAGACCTCACAGGAAATGTGGTTTAAAATCCAAAATAAAAACAATATATAAGCAAGAATGAAATAATACCAAATACTTAACTAAAATAAACACTTTTGCTTCTACTCACTTCTCAATGAATGAAAGAAGCATAATGCAAGTTGACAGATCAAATGTGGATATTGATTTGGATATTTGGCTGATTTGGTGGCAGCCAAATCTCCGAATCAGATATGGCCAAATCGATTCGGGACAGCGATTCGAATCACCAAATCGAATCACTGTCCCACGAATTGGCTGAATCTGAAGTGAATACTAGTCACTTCACACAGGCCTCCTAAATATATGTCTGAACGCTGACTGGTAAAATAAACCATGAACACTGAATGCTGTAACAACCACAAAAAAGGGAAAAAAGAACAAAAGTTTCATTTCAAGATGTCTACTACTCGGATATCACCAAAGCTTTGCAAATCATTAGAAATAAAACACAGTTATTAATTAATGCTTAATTACAATATATTGTTACTTTAACAACAATTTAATAAGATGTCTAACTTGTAAAGTATTAAGCAAAATATTAAACAATAAAAAAGAGAAAACAATAGAAACACACCTCAAGTGGATAAAAAATGGGCAGTTTCATAAGTTTTTTTGATAAGTACAGAAAGCTATCCTTTAAAATATTCATGTTAACCAAGAAAAGATTATAACAGAAGAAACTATATTTTGAAAGTTTTGAATTTTTCAATCTACATTGATCCATATAGAACACAATGTTAGTTTTTTTCATTACTACAAGAGAATTTTGTTTTGGAACATTTCTTTCTAATTTAAGAATGGGTTTTACATATACAGTCAGTCATTTCGTAACTCACTCTAAAATATAATACTTTAAAAAAAATTACAATATATTGTCACTCTAATAATATTAAAGAATTTAACAACATGTTTAACCTATACAGTAGAATATAATTAAAGTTTTATATCTCTTATGCAGAATGCAAAGTTTTAGAAAATATATATAGTTCAGTTTGCCAATTATATACATGATTCATCAACTTCATTTTTTTTAAAACCTATGACAAAAATGTTATGTCTGTTTTTCTTTAGATTAGGACAAGATTTCTGGTGATGATCTTTTTCCTGCGGAAAATGCATATTCAAATTTGAGACCTACACACATTAATTTCATCTACCTAAATTAGTTCAAAATTTAAAATGTTACACAGAGGCTTTTTTTAGGACCTTAAAGCAGGTACCAAGTTGGGAAATGTCTTGCCTTTTTTAAAAAGCAAACTGTTCTTAATTAGTTTCTTAGATTTAACATGCAACTAACTAATCATTGGTAAGTAAAAGAGAAATTCTGCTTTGAACAAAGCAGGAAAAGTCTCCATAAAAATACACTTTAAAGTACAATGGTACAAGAAAGGTATTTTGGAATTTAAAGATTTTCTACCTAACTTCTCTTGTTCAAAACTGACACCATTAAAAATACACCACCAATATTTCTGAGAAAAATGTGATGTTTATACAGTTGCAAACATGAGATAAGGATACTGTTTTCTGAGGTCATATATTTTCACATGGAAACCATGCAGTCATTATCAGGAATTCGGGTTTCCCATTTCCCTTGGAAAAACAGGGAAAAATTGGGATTTTCTCCTGTAAAGCAAAAAAAATCACAAATTATTCCTTTTAAAGGAGAAAAATGTGGGAAACCACAGGTTTCTCCTTGCAGGCTGGCAGCCTTCCAGCCTCCAAGGAGAGAGACTGGGGGGGAGCAGGGGGAGGATGATTGGAGGCAGTGGACACGTGGCTGGTGTATAGCCAGGCAGGGTGGTGCGAGCTGTAACAGGGCCCTGGGAGAACTCACCAGAGGCAGGTCCTGGGATGTAGCAAGTCCGGCAGCAAGGGAGCTGACACAGGTGTGGAAAGTGAGAGAGGGTTAGCTACGTAAGCCCAGAGTGGGAAGGATAAAAGACACTGAAAGCAGCCGCAAAGGGCTGCACCTGGCCAGGGAGCAGGCTACCTAGAGCCACCAGGGGTTAAGCACCACCGGGAGAGCCCAGAGCAGGGCTCTTCTCTGTTTGTTTGCTTGCTTTATCATTTGCTTTGTTGCACAAGCCTGTAGGCTCTGCAAAGCCTGTGAAGGATAAGGGGCAACCAGGAGGTGAAGCCTGAAAGAACCACTGGAAGACAGCGGGGAGGGGGAGGTCTTTTAGGGACAGCAGGGAGCTGTGTGGCCAGGCTGGTGATGCCAGGGGCTGGTGCCCATACTCTCAGGGGCAGAGGTGAGGCAGCCAAGAGATGCTGCCTCTACCTGGCACACTGCAGGAGCCCCAGCTCAGGGTGAGGGTGTCCCCTCCTCCTTCCTCCAGCATGTACTGGGGCCGGACTCACTCTACCACGATCCACCTGAGCCAGAGTCACCGCAGCAATTGCACTCCAGCTCAGGTAAGACAGAGATTGCCTGAAGGCCCTCACCCTCCTCCTGCTCTCCACAGCATGGCCCAGGCCACAGCGCTCTTGGGTTCATGCTGCTACTGTAGAGCATGGTGCTGGTCATCCACACTGTGCTGCAGCCCCAGTTCTCCCTATTGCACCGCAGCCACAACCCTAGCCCCAGCTCGTGGTGTGGGACAGCGTGTGGTGTCTCAGCCACTGCCTGGCCTTCTGCTTCAGATATGATGCATGCACCTCATGTTGGAAGTCATGCCTGCCACTGTGCGTCGGGAGTGAGGGACACCAGCATGGATGGGGGTGGGGGGGAAGGGGGAGCCAGGAACTGTGGGTTGGGAGTGAGGGGCCACAGGCAGGGCCAGAAAGCTGTGGGTCAGCAGTAAGGGGCACCATCAGGGACAGAGGGCTGTGGGTTGGGAGTCAGGGGCACTAGAAGGGGGGACTTTGGGTCAGGAGTGAGGAGCATCCACAAGTCTGGGGAGGCTGTGGCTTGAGAGAGGGGGGCAACAGCATGGGCAGGGCATCAGCATATCAGGACTGCTCGGCACCACAAAGCGCCTGGGGGGGACAGC